TGAGGTACAGGGCTCCCTCTTAATGCCATGAAACCGGTTTCTGGGTTGTAATGCAGGGATCGGGGTAATGGTTAAGCCTACGACGTTGGTTAAAAGAGAAGCTTGCAGTGCAAAAGCAACACTAGAAGTCAAGGCAGAGCAGTAATTATGTGTGAAGAAAAAAAAAACAAGGAAACACAACCGAGAATTCAAGAGCTCCTTCTGCTAAATAATTTGTGCGTTGAGCACACTCATCGGAGCTGACTTCCACCGCTAGCGCTCTCTGCTTAGGCGGCTGGAGCCATACGGCGAAGGGTGGGCGGACAGCGGCGATGGCGGCGCGAGAATGGCCATGGTAGATCGCCGAGGTATATCTTTCGCTGCAACTAGCGTGTCGCTCCTCACCTTTGGCAGGTCCCTGTCTCTCCACTAGGTAGGCTTCCCCTTCTTCGACCTCCGACCTTATCGTGGAATCCCTCTTCAATCCCTTCTGTGAAGTGTGTTTCACTTTTAATCAGTGTTTTATGAGCATTTGAATACGGGATGGTCTATAAATAACTTGTGGATTGAGCTGATGTCCGAGCAAGTTTTACTCTGTGGAACAAGCCTATACTTTTTTTGTAGCTCACATTGTTCCTTAAAATATGACTTGAAGAAGCCAAGATCTCGTAGTGCGGAATGACGCTAGTCCGTTGATTCAATCTCTTCAAGATCAACTATTCTCTCCATACACAATAGACCGCCCTTCTAGCCGAGTCAGGCCAGCACCCCTTTTCCTCTTTGAGCTTTCTGGATCTTGCGATCTATTTCCGAAATGTGTCAGGTTGGACTAGGTAAACCACATAACCTGATCATCAGCTATTTGGAGGTGATGTGATCTGTAACAGGGCGCGGCTGACCCTGCTTCCACCTTTTAGGAGTCGAGTAATTAATGATAGTGCTTCAGAAAGAAAGCCACATTACTGAAATGGATATTTTCTAGCCATTTAAACATGTCCGTAAGTCTCAATGAGTCAGCCACATAATTGTCGTTCCCCGTCCACATTCTCATAGAATAGTCTCTTTGGATCGTCGCGCAACGTCTGATCATGGAAGACGAATGTATCTGTTTCGGCAGCGCCGTCACATCTATGTTTGGATACGACAGCCGCCTGGAGAGAGGACAGAGGCGCCGCCCCGCCGTTGACGAACGTACCGACGACGACCTTCACCCGAACGACGTCCCCCATGCGCCGACTCCTCATATCTTATCACCACACTATAGTCAACTAATTACCGACCGTAATCACATAAAAACCTCAATTAAACCTCAATTAAGATCGTTTACAATACGAGGAGATCCTCGTCACTCCTTCGTCGTCGGTTTTCAACATGCAGTCTTGATCCTTTTGTTTCAATTGGTGTTCATTGGCTAATTATTCGGTTGGAATATCTCTATCTTCGTTCACTTTCCATAATTTCTTTGTAATTTTACTGGGCAATAATATTGACAATTTTCCAATGGACTTCTGTCTACCTTATAGTTAGAGATCATTCGTACTCTGAAGTGAGTGTTTAATTCATTACCGTCAAGGGTTCGCGAGGGTTCAAGCAGGTGCTGAGGCAAATCGGCCAATTTCACCTGCAAAGATTGGTTGTTGTTGGCTGTTGTTTGATTGTTTCTATAGATTTTTAGTTTTTCTTGGGTCTGAATTCTTTGGCCAAAACGGCAGTGATACGGGTCCGATGCGAAAATGTGAGATCAGATTCGGATTTCCTCCACTTTCGATGTCTGGGAAAAAAGAGAATTTCCCATCGACCTCCTTTTCGAATGGCTTCATTATCGATGGAAACAATCGGAAACATGACACGTTTCTGTTCAATCTTCAATCTCTCTTCTTTAACTCGATTTTTTGTCAGTCACATTTCGCTTTTCGTCGTCCTGTTTCCCGCGTGAGAGAAGTCCGATAATTTCAAGGAATCTTTCTGGAACACTATCGAGTCCGATCTCCATTACCCTTTCAATGGGATCAAACTCCTCCTTGAATGCATTTCTTGAGATGTTATGCTGATTTCCTCAGCTGCTATTTTTCCACTTTTCTTCTGCTGATATTTCGTCTAGGTTGTGCCAAAATGTCTGTATCCATGTTTATCTAGCAGTATCTCTGGACCCCAAGTCCCCTCCTGACCCCATAGTTTTTTTAAAATCTTTTTGGTCGCCTCACGGGCACCAGACTGGTTTGAAAGGGTATCTCCATGTGGCACTATGATTCCGTGAGCGCTCTTTCGGTTCATTGTGGGTTTTCTGGAAGAAGCCCTTGTATAGGCTCTCATTGACTTTCTCGGCTCTTCATTTCCCTCGAACGCGTTTTGATTCTTGATTTCTGCAGAGGAAAAAGGCATTTCATGAAGCTTCGGGGAGCTTCGGGCCAACTCCCGAGGCGACCTTTTTATAATATTTTCTGAGAGATCAAAATGCTTTCTAGCCCTGTAGGGATCCGTTTTTCTTTCCTGATACATAGGGATCCACTTGTCCACTTGGGCGTACATCTGACTTTTTCAAACGTCAATCGGCTCGCTGTGGTCAGCCGTGTTCGAGCAGAAGTCGAGGGATTCTATTCCAATCAAAAGTTTCAGGCAATTCGGTTCTATTTACCAAGTTATCGAGACATAGGGTTTTGGTTGGATGGGCGGGCTTCTGTTCAGGTACTGGACATGTGGCAGTAGCGACTTCGCCTTTCGATCTGACCTTTGCCTATTCGAGAGCCAAGGAGACTAATCCTTGAAGAAATTTCCGTATTCCATGATATGATTAGACATTTCCGTTCACAGACACAGGAAACCTTTATGAAGCATCTGGTCGTGTTCAGTCCCTTTCGGGATGCGCCATACATTCTACTTCCACCAGAATTGCATTGCAGTGGCATTAATTGGCCAACATAGCAAATTGCGAGGTCAATCGGTGTAAAAGCCAGTGTTTTTATCCTCCCAGACAAGTTTAGTACCATTAGTCCACCCGGATGGATGGAAGGCTTGGATTGGTCTTGCGACGTACGATCACGGATTTGATTTCAGACCATGCACGTGATAAGCAACGCCACTAGCCACTGCGCCACTTGCGCTCCTTCATTCTTTGAAAATTGCCTCAAGCACCTTTTCATTGTGTGCGAGCTAAAGAATGTAGTTGGGCGGGCTAAAAGAGAACTTTTCGCACATTTGGGCAGTTGGAAGTCTCTGTCTTAGCATCATTTGTAATTGATTTCCCAACCTTGTTTGAGAGGTTTTATGAAGACCAACTGGCGGTTTTGTCATGTGAACGTCTTCAACGTAGTTTTTCGACCGACTCCTCACCAAATTAGGGCATTGCCTTCCGATCCGATTGTGTGACGGCGAGCTATAGTCGGTTCCTTTGTGGGTGGTCAATCCTCACACTCTAGCTGGTTACTCACATCAAATCTAGTTCATGGATGATGGCTAGTGTGTATAATTCGCGCCGCTATCATTTTTTGACTTCAGTATCGCGACTAGTAGGCTATCTCGATGGTTGGGCTGCGGTTATTCTACTAAACGGTTGGATGGTATCCCCTGGACGCCACCATTTCTGTCCTGATTGGACACAAAGTCGAATTTAACCCCACTGCCTGTTGGGTGGGGATCGAGTTGAATTCATCCTTTCGTTCTTTCTGTTCAGACGTGGTAGTAGAATTTACTCCAATTTGGTATACATTTATTGGCAAATTGCCAGCTTTATTCTGACCTCAGCGAAATAGCTAGCCCTTTTCCATGTTGCGTGGAAGTAACGTGACGTTACGTACTCCGAGTAATTGTTTCTCTGAACCAGTCCGTTGATCTTTGACTCCTCCTCTTCTTCTTGTTTGTGATGACGTTTTTAGAGGCAAAGTGCATTACTCAATTGAACGACCGTTCATAAAAGTTGTGGTTCCACTTTTGCGATGTGCCAGCAAAGGGTTGAGTGGTAAATTTGCTTGTTAACTCATTGCAGACAGCACTACGGCGTGTACCTTGGTATATTTTTGTCTCTCATCAGTGGTTTAAGAATCCATCAACAGTTCTATTAATATTAACAGTGTCTTTTGTTCGTCCGAAACCGTTTACTGGAAAGTTCAAGACGCGAAAAATGCTAAATAAATCAGTAAATGCCCCGTTTGGTAAATAGTCTGGTGCAAATCATTTTGGGGGTGGCTGCTAAGTTGTTGGGTAAGTATGCCTAACCGTATGCAGGACGGTAAACTCAGTGGGGAAATATTTAACCGAGTTTTTTTTAGGTTAGTTACGAACTTTTCGGAGTTACCCAATACTGGCTCTAAAATCGTGGCAAGTAGGCCGCATACCGCGCGCATGGCTCGAGGATGAGATCCTGGATCCTCTGTTCTGTCGTACGTCAACCAGGCAAACCGCACTTTACATTCCTCTGGGGTAGGCTTGTTCAGGATGTCAACAACACTGGCTTTATAGTGGCTGGTTCTAGCAACTCATTGTGTAGGCTAAATCGCACTTGCCAGTGCGAATCAGGATGGAAGTAGAATGCGTGGCGCATCCTGTAAAAGGTTCGATCGACGTCGAATGATTTATCTTTACTCATCCTTTATCATTATCCATTGGGCAAAGGTAAAGCTGTATGTGAGATGTTATTGGTAAGTCCTAAATCGTAGACGCCAACTGAGTCCACCTGTGCCTTTCACTATGTTTGATACTCTTGGCACTGCGAGGGGGTATGGTAGCTCCTTTGGAATCGGCTTGACCACTCAGCATCGAGACATGCTTTCAAATTCATCTGTTTCCTTCTGAATGGAGATAAAATTCATCTGCCTTCTTTCTTGATGGCGATCGAATGCTTGGCGCATCTCAAAAAAATTACTGCTGGACGTTCTTCTTTTTGTTTTCATTTGTAATTTTGTTATTGTCGATTACGTCGTGGAACCCACGAATAATTCACCACTTTCAGTTACCTATTGCGATTTTCTGTTTTTTTTCTCTTGCTTTCTCTCGCTTTTCCTTCATATACTTTTTTTGATTCCAGAATGTCATCTAGTCCGCATGGCGGACCACCGGAATCGGGTTCCGCCAGTCCGGCCGGTATCAGAATTCAGCGACGTGCGAACGCTATGGAGCAACCGGTTTGTCGTTTTTTTTTCGTTCAGAGTAGGTGTAATGTTGAGCGATGTGTGGTGCTAATCACTAATATCGATTTACTTTTTACGCTAGCGTAATAGTCATTGCTGTCATCTAATTGGTGGCCATAGAGCCAAAAAAGCGGATCTTATGATATATTTACTACTAGCTATTAAGGCTGTGTGTGGAACCAAGGTTCAAGACGAGGAGTGGAACGTCAAAAGACCTTAAACCGGTTTTTTTAGAGGCGAAATTCTGGAAAGTTTCTTCAATGGGTCAGGGGCGGTTGGCTTACACTATAATGATAAGGAGGGTTTGTTTTTGTACCAGCGTGTTACCTAAGTAGT